CAATTTTTATTTTAAAAGAGACTTTCATGGATACTATGGATAATATTGCATATCCATGATTTTTAATTAATTATTACTTTGAAGCAACACAAACATACAAACATATATATAATATTTAATTAAATATCATCTAAATCACTTTCCATAACATATGAGTGATAACATGAATCTAATCTAATTTACATTAAAGTTTCAACCACAACATACAATGATTATCTTAAACGAATACTTAAAGCAAGAAAAATATAAAAAAAAATTAGTATATAACAAACTTACAAATTAAAAACTTTAACATAATAGCATGGCATGAAAAATGGTCCAAAGTCCTCATACCAACACAAAACCTTTAAACTTGTTTTCTTTGTGAATTTTGTATGTGATTTGTATTTGTGTGTCTACTCAAAGAGAATGACATTTTTATAGTAGACTATCCATTAATTGTTTATTAAACATATTATATAAGTTATAAAACCTTTCATGATGTGTGATTAATTACTTTGAAGGTGAAAAGGTGTGGAGGTTTCAAATGCATGAGGTGCTTGGAAATTTGTATGGGGGTTTCAAATGCATGAGGTGATAGGAAAAATGTCTCCTTTATAGTATGACTAGTCGAATGCCTGCACGTTGTGCAGAAACACCTACATAGTTGAAATCTTTATAAATATATGATTTTTTAAATATAACAATAAAGTTGTTGTTAAATTTGATATAATAATTCGTATATTAAATTGATATAATATATTGATTATTTTGAATTATATGATAATATATACATCTATTATAACTACATAATCTCAATCGTTTGAATGACTTCTACCCGCGAGTTACACATGAATAAAATTAAATATAATATATAGTTTAATGTTATTTATAATTGTCATTAATGTTAATTAATTTTTTAAAATTTATTTGCTTAATGTTTTAATTTCTATCACTATAATTACTTAAAACATCAAACATTGTTTTTTGATTTTAAAGGTAACAATATAATCATTTATATAGAGTTATTTGTAACTATTGTTATTGTAAGTTATTTTAAGATACTTATTTGAAAACTTTTAACGATTTTAAAAATATCTTTAAGAAATATTTCAGTTAAATTGAGATTACAATTTAGTTTTTGCATTTATCACTACAATTTATCACTTTGAACTATTTACAAAATATTTGTTGGTTTTTTAAGTGGAACTAAAATTTTTATTTAAGTTGACATTGTAATGTTATATTTAAATTAACAATTTAAGTATTTTATCCAAACTCTTCAAAAGTTGTAGCTTTAAACTGATAACGGTTTACATATAACAACATATTAAATCTAATAAATTAAGTATAATATGTTAAAAGTTAAAGACATAACTTTATAAGTAGAAGTAAATATATTATTTTAAAATTGAAATTTAGTTTATTTATGATTACACTTTAGGTTTGATATTTATTTAACCTTATTAACCAACTTATAATCATTATTAGAAAGACACTACAATTAATCACTTTTAACTATTTAGAAAATATTCTTTGTGTTGTTTAAGTTAAACTAAAATTTATATTTAAGTTGACCCTGTAATGTTATATTTAAATTAATAATCTAGGTATTTTATACAAATTGTTCCAAAATTGTATATTTAAAATGATAATGGTTTACATCCAACAATATATTAAAACAAATAAATTAAGTATAATATGTTAAAAGTTAAAAAATATAACTTTATAAGTAGAAGTAAAGATATTATTTTAATATTGAAATTTAGTTTATATATGATTACACTTTAAGTTTGATATTTATTTAACCTTATTAACCAACTTATAATTATTATTAGAAAGAAATTGAAAAGTCATGGGAGTTTCAAATGAATGTGGTGAAAGGAAAAGTGCATGGGAGTTTCAAATGAATGTGATAAAAGGAAAAATGCTTCCTTTATAAGTATACTAGACGAATGTCTGCGCGTTGCGCAGAAACACCTATATAATTAAAATCTTCAAAAATATATTTTTTCTTAAATATGAAAACAACGGTTTTGTTAAATTTGATATAATAATTCATATACTAAGTTTATATAATATATTGATTATTCTAAATTATATGATAATATATACATCTATTAAAACTGCATAATCTCAATTGTTTGAATGACCTCTATCTGCGGGTTACTCATGAATGAAAAAATATATATATATATGGTTAATGTTATTTATAGTTGTTATTGTTTATTAATTTTTTAAAATTTATCTGCTTAACATTTTAATTTCTATCATTGTAATTATTTAAAACATCAAACATTGTTTTTTGTTTTTAAAGGTAACAATATAATTATTTATATAGAGTTATTTTTAACTATTGTTATTGTAAGTTATTTTAAGATACTTATTTGAAAAGTTTTAATGATTATAAAAGTATATTTAGGAAATACTTTAGTGAAATTTAGATTACAATTTAGTTTTTGCATCTAGCACTACAATTTATCACTTTTAACTATTCACAAAATATTATTTGGGTTTTTTAAGTGGAACTAAAATTTATATTTAAGTTGATTATGTAATTTTATATTTAAATTAACAATTTAAGTATTTTATCCAAACTGTTCAAAAGTTGTAGCTTTAAACTGATAATGGTTTACATACAACAACATATTAAATCTAATAAATTAAGTATAATATGTTAAAAGTTAAATACATTTTTAAACTGATAATGATTTACATACAACAACATATTAAAATCTAATAATTAAGTATAATATGTTAAAAGTTAAAGACATAACTTTATAAGTTAAAGTAAAGATATTATTTTAATATTAAAATTTAGTTTATTTTTTATTACACTTTAGGTTTGATGTTTATTTAACCTTATTAACCTACTTATCATCATTATTAGAAAAAAACTACAATTTATCATTTTTAACTATTTACAAAATATTCTTTAGGTTGTTTAAGTTAAATTAAAATTTATATTTAAGTTGACCGTGTAATGTTATATTTAAATTAACAATTTAAGTATTTTATCAAACTGTTCAAAATTTGTAGCTGTAAAATGATAATGGTTTATATACAACATTTTAAAACTAATAAATTAAGTATAATATGTTAAAAGTTAAAGAGATAACTTTATAACTAAAAGTAAAGATATTATTTTAAAATTTAAATTTATTAACCAATTTATAGTAATTATTAGAAAGAAATTGAAAAGTCGTTAAGGTTTCAAATGCATATGGTGTAAGTAAAAATATCTCTTTTCTCCTTTGCATTTTTCCTTTCACCACATTCATTTGAAACTCTCATGACTTTTCAATTTCTTTCTAATAATAATTATAAGTTGGTTAATAAGGTTAAATAAATATCAAACCTAAAGTGTAATAATATATAAACTAAATTTCAATATTAAAATAATATCTTTACTTCTATTTATAAAGTTATGTTTTTTAAATTTTAACATATTATACTTAATTTATTAGATTTAATATATTGTTGGATGTAAATCATTATCATTTTAAAGATATAATTTTGGAACAATTTGTATAAAATACTTAATTTATTAATTTAAATATATCATTACAGGGTCAACTTCAATATAAATTTGAGTTGCACGTTGCGCAGAAGCATCTATATAGCTGAAATCTTTACAAATATATGTTTTTTTAAATATGACAATAATTTTGTTTTTAAATTTGATATAATAATTCGTATACTAAGTTCATATAATATATTGATTATTTTGAATTATATGATAATATATACATCTATTAAAACTGCATAATCTCAATTTTTGGAATGACCTCTACCCGCGGGTTAATCATGAATAAAATTATATAATATATGGTTAATGTTATTTCTAGTTTGGTGTTATTGTTACTTAATTTTTTAAAATTTATTTGCTTACCTTTTACGTTCTAATTCTATCCATTATAATTATTAAAACATCAAACATTTTTTTTAAAGGTAACAATATAATCATTTATATAGAGTTATTTTTAACTATTGTTATTGTAAGTTATTTTAAGCTACTTATTTGAAAATTTTTAACGATTATAAAAATATCTTTAGGAAATATTTTAGTTAAATTGATATTACAATTTAGTTTTGCATTTACACAACATACAATTTTCACTTTTAACTATTCACAAAATATTTTTTGAGTTTTTAAGTGGAACTGAAATTTATATTGAAGTTGACCATCTAATGTTATATTTAAATTAACAATTTAAGTATTTTGTCAAAACTATTCAAAAGTTGTAGCTTTAACTGGTTTACATACAACAACATATTAAATCTAATAAATTAAGTATAATATGTTAAAATTTAAAGACATAACTTTATAAGTAGAAATAAAAATATTATTTTAATATTGAAATTTACTTTATTTATGATTACACTTTAGGTTTGATATTTATTTAACCTTATTAACCAACTTATAATTATTATTAGAAAGACACTACAATTTATCACTTTTAACTATTTACAAAATATTTTGTATAATATGTTAAAAGTTGAAAACATAACTTTATAAGTAGAAGAAAATATATTCTTTTAATATTGAAATTTATTTATATATGATTACACTTTAGGTTTTATATTTATTTAACCTTATTAACCAACTTATAATCATTATTAGAAAGAAATTGAAAAGTCATGGGAGTTTCAAATGAATATGGTGAAAGGAAAAATGAATGAGAGTTTCAAATGAATGTGGTGAAAAGAAATATGTTTCATTTATAAGTATACTAGACGTAACCTCGCGCGTTGCGCAAGATTGCATTTAAGTGGTTAAATAATTATGGGAAAAATAGAAATATATTTTGATACTATCTAATATAGTCCATACCTTATAAACTTTATTTTTACTTTTATAATATCCAATATATATTATAATTTTTTGTATAAACATTATATAATCTACTTTTCTTATGTCCGATAATAATTTTTGGATAAAAAAGAAATAAGTTGTTTTGAATGAGCTATTAATAAACAATATTGAACTAATAAACTTTGTATTACTATTATTTATATTACACCAAAACATCCAAGGTTTCATATATGAACTTTCTAATATTAAACATTGAAATTAAGAATGAAGTCATACAAAATATATCATTATACATAAATGTCATCAAGAGTTTTAAAATAAGTCGATTAGTAAATATGATATTTAATTTTAATTACATATTTTGCAAGGCGTACGTTTGACTTTATGTTGGTGCACCGAGAATCATCTTCCTTAATTTGTACCTGAAAAATTAAGGTGAATAGGAATATAAAATAGATATTACTAAGCATTAATATAAATAATTAAAAAGGGTATGTGGATCTCCTACCACCGGTTAAAGACAACATACCTCTCTAGTGGTATCGATTCCTATGTGAAATTGAAGTAGTCATTCTATGTACACCTTGTTTTCTAATTACATAAACAAATATGAATAACCAAACATAAAAATATTATCTTTATGTAGGAAAAATATTATAGTTAACTAACAAATTAAATAATATAAGTTTAAGAGTTAGGATTTTCAAAACATTAATATTTTTATTAATCAATCAATTAAGTAACACATGTTAAAATTTTTACAATCATTGTTAAAAGCATTTGAATATTTGGATTTAAATGAATTTTGGTTGAAGTATTTTGACCTCTATATATATAGATATATATATATTAATATAGATATATATATATATATATATATATATATATATATATATATATATATATATAGATATAGAGAGAGAGAGAGAGATGAAAGTATAACATATGTATGAGTTTTAATTAATTACCTTTTTGAAACGGTACAATTACAAAACAAAAAAAAACATATTTAAAATATTTAATTAAATATTTTCGACATCACCCTATATAACATATGATCAATATATTAACGATTAAACCACAATATACAACGACTATATTACAATAATCCAAAAACGAAAAAAATATAAAAACGAATTACCATAACAAACTTACAAATTAAAAGCTTTAATATAATAACATATCTCCAAAAGTGGTCATAAGACCTTAACCCACCACAAAAACCTTTAAGTTTGTTTTCTTTCTGAAACTTGTATATGATTTGTATGCATGTCTTCCCAAAAAATTGGTCTTTTTATAGTAAACCTTTCATTAAATGCTAATTAAACATAATATAAGTTATAAAATTTTTGAGTGTTAAATCATAATTAAGAAAACTTTTGAGTTGCATTAGTTAAAAAACGGGGGTTTCAAATAAATGTGGTTTGAGAAAGTTAAAAAAAGAGGTTTCAAATGCATGAGATTCAAGAAAAAATGATAGCTTTATAAGTATGTATGATAAATAGATATAGATATAGATATATTTGAAAGCTTAAAATCAAACATTTGATCAAATAACGGTAATATTAGACATTTCAAAATAAACAATTTGAAAATGAATAGAAAGAAATTTTTGAAAGAAAAAATTGTACAAATGAGAAAAAGAATACAAATTATATATCTTTGATAAATCCGGAATTTCATGAACAATTCCGCAAAAATTTAGGACAAAATGATTATCTTTATAAAACATAAAAACTTAGTTATTTTTAATTTTTATTAAACAACTTATTTATAATAGTTAGTTTAATCAATATTGATCAACCTACATCTTTAATCTAAATCAACTTACTATGTACTTAATTTTATTAAAATCTCTCTTTATTTTTCCTTTTCTATTTCCACTAGTTGATATCATCTCTGTTTTCTAGTTTTCACATGGGTGGCAAAAGCTTCACCCCTGAGACTTGGTTCTTGATCCTTTAAAAAAACTGTGAATCTCTTATGGGTTTCTTTTTAGGTTAAAATGAGATCTATTAATTTACTTTTGGTGGAATTATAGGTTGACATGATTGCCTTTGAATCCTTATATAGGCAATCTACTTTATATGTATATGAAGAATCCCCTCTTACCCACACATGATCAACAAGAACGCATATGGTAGTTTTTAATTTTTTATATAAACAAAAATATGACTATATAAAAGTATCCGAGTAAAAAAAACTACTTATTTACATCTTCAATTTGGTATTCATTATAACTGAAACCGATACGAGGTTTACCCATGCTGAAATTTAGGACCCTTGCATTCATGTTGTATTGTATATGTCCCTCGTAAAGCAGTTTCCGAATGTAGTGTTCTATGTCTGAACCAATAAGTCGTAATGTGTATTCCGTCAATGGTGCTCCCTATTACAACATCACAAACATTCAAAACTTAAATACGGATTTTTTTTTTTTTTATGAAATATGTTGACATAACTATGTAGTTTTTCCAAAGTATAGGCTATAATAACACATTAATAGGTAAAAATAAGTGTTTAAGGTTAAAAAATACGTTGGGAAATTAAGCATTACCTCATAGTGGTCAACAAGCTCCTGAAAGTACGAGTAAACCATGTTGCAGGTTTCCGGCGTCCAAACAAACTCATCCGTGGGATCAAGGATAAGGGTGAGCTTATCCATCTGTGTTTGATCGAAAGCACATGTCTCAGGGTCGATATATGCTGCGAAGATTCTCACGTGTCTTGTGGTGCTGCTCAGCCATTGACCACCGTACTCCCGCCCCATGTTCTTGCTTTGTACGTTCACTTGTGGCTCAACGGGCCTCGGCTGGGTGACACCCTTCACCACCGGTTTCTCTTCTTTCACTTCTTCTTGTTGTATTGAAGTTGATTCTTGCACTTCTTGTTGTTGAGCACACACCGAGAAGCCATTGTTGCTTCGTTTTCTGGGGAATAAGGTTTCTGTTTTGTTCATGGGTTTCCACCCCACCATGGAAGCCATTGACGATAAAGCTGCTGCCATTGTTTTGGGTGTTTTGTTTTTGTTCAGAGTTCTTGATGATTCAATGGTTAAAATTTCATGTTTTGTTGAATTAGGTGTGGATAAGTTTTTTTGGTTTTTTGTTTCAGAGGTATGTGAAGGAGTAGGCAACAAAGTGTTTGTGGTAGGGAATCGTTTAAGAATTTGTCTATGGTGTATTTCTCTATATCGGTATATCCATCTTTAAAAGTTTCTAAAATTTTGAATTTCCTGATATATCATAAACGGGCTTGGGCCCGATTCCAAAAGGGCTTTATATATGTCACAATCCATTATTTATGTCCCGTCGGAGCGGATCCATGATACCACATTACCACCTCGTTTTCAAATTTTAATATCTCAATTAAATGATTTAATTCAGGGGACCACGTATTACCATATGTATACTATATGGCATCTAGGGCCCGTGTTGAGCATCTTCTTCTTTTCTTAGTTGAATTGGAAGCTAAACCTAATACTTGCTCTTCAGTAAAGGTGTGACAAAAGTCGTATAGGATTCTAAGATAATGATATAAAGAAACATTTGGCCGACTCAATTCTCCTACAAATATGTCGGTTCGGGTTCATGTTACAACAAGTGTCATAAGAAAAAAGTTAAACCAAATTTCTAAGTTCTAACAACAAGACAAATGCAACCGACTCAAAAGGTTGACTACGTCAAATCAAAGAAAAAAAACACCATGTGTAAAGGATGATGTAAGCACCAATTTGTGGATAATGCTGAATTTGAAGTCGGTTTTGAAATTTAACAAAATTCGTACACAATGATGTAAGCACCAATTATGTCGATAATGTTGAATTTGAAGTCGGTTTTGAGATTTAACAAAATTGGCATGGTTGGTTGATCTAAAAAGTCCCAAATAAAAAGTCTCATAACTTTGAGATGATGTAAAACGTTTTTCAGCCATTAGGATCGTTTACGATGGCAAAATGTTCTTTTTTTTAAATAACGAAGTCTGTAAAGATTTGAACTTGAAACCCTTTTACCCACTATATATTTTGGAGCAGTTAAATCTCAAGCAATAGCCACTGGCCACGTTGAAGATTTTTTATTCTCAGTACTTTTAGGTTCATTTCCAAAAGTGTAGCCACCGGTGCAAAAGTTCAAATTTTTTTTTTTATTCTGGGTACTTTACATAATAACATGTGGTAACAAATTAAGACGTGTTCATGAATTGCAAAGAATCATGTGTCACTAGGGGTGGTAAATCGTGTTATCGTTTCGTGTTTCTGACACGACACGACAAAGTTTTATGTAACACGAACACGACACGACACGATGTCGTGATTTTTTAACTAACACGAAAACGAACGAATTAAAAAATGACAAACACGACACGATACGAAAAATATAACATATACTAAAAACCAGTTTATTTAATGAATACTTTATCAAATATAACACGACAAACACGAAATACACGATAAAGAACTGTTAAATCGTGTCAATTTCGTGTCGAATTTTAAACACGAACACGACATCGTGTTTTTTACAGTTAACACGAACACGAATTCAAATTTCAGTTTCGTCCCAATTTCATTTCGTGACGTGTATTTTGTCGTGTCATAAATTGTCACCCCTATGTGTCACCTATAAAGGTAGAAATTCTAGGCAATAAGCAATATAAAATGAGTTAATTTGCTTGAGACTTGCCTCTTTCCAAAAAGATAAAAACAATATAAGGCGAGTTAATAAATTTCGATCTTATAGACCCCATACCTTTGAGAAAATCGTGTAATCTATAAATCCCTTTGTTAAGTTCTAATCATAAACACGTACGTATTAATTTGTTACAAACACGTATTCAAAATCTCAAAATAGCTTACTAGTTACAAACACGTACGTATTAATTTGTTAAGTTCTAATCATAAAGGTATAGTAAAACACAAGTACCTCTACCCAATCGTGTGAAAAAGTGCATCCAAAAAGTTAACTTACCAAACCACAACACAACACAAGTACATATTCAATGAAACTCTAGGTTACTCGAAACAAGCTAGCTCTAACCACTTGCAGTCATCCACCCGATTATTGCAATAAGTTAAATAGCCAATAGGGTAAACGTGAATATCAACAAGTTGAAGCTACGTTCAAGCCTATAATTACCTGAAAAACAGACAAGTTGCCAAACCAAAAAAAATAATATCATAAGTGCATTGCCTAATCGGTTAAAATAGTACATTGGCTGTATTGGTAAAAAGAGTAAAGACACCAATCAAAACGAATCTCATAGACCCAAGTCAAAGCAATTAATTTATGGGTTAAGTTGATGATGAAACGCTAACTATTACTTCCTCAATCCAAAAAAATGTAACGTTTTCCCTTTTAAGTTGTCTAAAAAAATGCAACTAATTAAATTTCATCGTGGTCACTCAAACCATGCTCAAACACATGCACTTTGGGTACTTGGTACATGTTTTTTTTTGAAGTTATATTAACACCAAATATTCTATAATAAATAATAATAGCTGGCTTGACATTAGAATTTGGAAAGTTATTAAATAAATCCGAATGCATATGGTAATTAATGGATACAGTCTTACCTTGATTTGAACGATCGTCTGACAAACTTGGAGGGGGAGCAGGAGGCGATTTGTTCCCAAATCCAAGTCCAAGGTCCTTACAGTCCATTCCAGGTGAACCTAACCAAAAAAACAAGAATCCGGTTACACACAACTACACTTGTTCAATTGGACAAAAATCGTAATTTTTTGTCCAACCCAAAAAGGTGGGACACAGACTCGTTTTCGATCTCATGGCTATGCAAAAGACATGAATGCCCTCCTAATCTTCATCAACAAAAATATCCCTAGAAAGCTTGTCCGGTCTGGTTGGGTACCTTGTAACAAACGCAACCTAAGGTTGTGTTTGTTACATTCGACATAATTGGACTGGACAAAGACAAAGTTTTTAGGGTTATTTTTGGGGACGAGGATTAGGAGGGCATTCACGTCTTTTTGTGCGGACAAGATATCGAGAGCGAATCCCTATCCCATCTTTATTTCGTCAGACAAAATTTACAATTTGTGTCCCATTGACATCAGTCTCAGTTCTAGTCCAATGCACGCAAAATACAGTATTGTTTTCAGGAGTAGATTGTGGACTTACATTCTTTAAAGCAAGGAGAAAAGGTTAAGTTGAGAAGGTTATGATAACCCTGGTCACATTCGCATTTATGGGTGAAGAGAGATGTTGTCTCACATTTTCCTCCTCCACAATCGGTCCACCTACACACTAGAAAAACAAGCACCAATCACAATACATATATACCAAAAGTCTAAATGAGTAAACAGACTTTTACAAAGTTTTAACGGTTGTGTACCATCAAAGATTGATTCATTCCCTCGGTTCTCCTTTTCTTGCACAGGGGGTGGGGCTTTCGAACATGAATAATTCATTGTGCCTGAAATATGTATTACCAGTCACATACAAATTGTAGAATTTTATTGACCAAAAGAAATATAATCAAAGGGTATATGGTAACAGCTAAATACATAGTTCAATACAATGACAAAATATGGGACCACTCGGGTTGAAATCAAATACCATTAATAACTTTTAACGGTGTAATGACTTTTACTTCTATTATTTTTTATTTTATGATTTTCCATTTATATTTTTATCTTGACATATTTTATCTCTTACAAATTTGTAAAAAATCGTCTCTACATTGCTACCCTCCCATGTTTTATGTGTGTTTAGGTGATATTTTTCTTATCACATATTCCTACCCTCACGTGTATTGTGACAGTTAAACAATATATGAGAGAGAAATGGGGTGATTCTTATTTTACATTTACATAATTAAAGAACATAATTCAAGAAGCTTTAGACTTACAATTTGGGATGACACAAGGGAGAAATTTCAAAGAGTTGTCATCATCAGTAACAGCCATTTGCTTCCACCCAGGTGAGCATTCACATTCAAATGGGATAGTGCTGTTACCCGAAGGCTTGCAGGTTCCCTGACCACATTTCACATCATTGCATGCATCTTCTGTGATAATTACATCCAAAAAAGATGAAAAACTTTAAGAGCTTTTTCAAGTAAATCCTAAATTTCACCAAAAAAAACATGGATATGAATCCTAAATCATTCATGAAAAAAATATCGGCAGCATGTCATGCTTTTGCAATTGCATATCTCTACAAAAAGAATTATCAATAGCATACTTGGAATCCTTATATGAATAACATCACTTTGTCCACTTTTCATATAAGATACAAATTAAATTCAAAACTGAAGTAGTTTAATGAATCAATACATGAAAAGAAGCTCGTCTACTTGTGAACTAAAGCATTAAACTTCAACTATTGGCCATTTAGATTGTTAGATAACACCTCAACTGGACACAAAAACGATGTAATTGATATAGTCGCAGGAATCAAGGTTCTAATACCCCAAATCCTATTTTATTTTTAGTTAAGAGATTAGAGATTTTGGGAAGTAGGTCAAGTTTGTGAGCCAAAAGGTGATAATACATTAATATTTTTATGTAAATAGCTTCAAGAGCTTACTGACGTTATAAATGTTTCAATTCAAAATAAACTAATTATCATCAATATCTTAGGGTTAAGACATTTCCAGTATGAAATTAGAAAAACAGAACGAAGAAATGAAGCAACTAATTTATTCCGCACAATATAAAAAAAACCCTGAAATTTGAAAGGTTTTAATCAGTACAAACCAAAGATCGGAGAGAGAAGCGGAGCAAGAATATCGCCGACGCTTGTGGCGATACACCATGGCTGCAAAATAAGAAAGATGCAAAGGAAAGTAGCGATTGAAACAATCATTTTCAAAATTGTAACAAAAACTTTGATGGAGAAGAAGAATTACTTGAAGAGAAGCTCAGGCAGTTGGGTGCAATTAATAGATTGCTGTTGGAAGTCGTTGAAGTTGGACTTTGAATTCAGTTAGCGGCTATCGCCATTATTACCGATATTAGATGGATGGATTACATATAGATATATCATATTTCCAACTAAAGATACAAGAAAATATGGCATGACGTCATTTCTTAACCATCGCATAAATGAATATTTACCATTTACTTATTAATACAATTTATATAAATAAAATTCAATTTAGGTTACAAAATACTTTTTTTGTTTAAATATTTATTATTAAAAGAAAAATTAGTTTTCAGATTTTAAAATGAAATAGATAGTTT